CCAGCTTCGGAAAACCAGTAGTAGTTGGTGCTGAGGAATGCCCACCAACCCCCATTGTGAAAGTCCCAACAGCTTAGTGTAAAATGGCAAGCACACATAGTGTCTACGTCACAGGAAAGCTGGATAGCCAAAAATGCAACTTTGTCATAGATTCTGCATCTCAACAAACCCTTGTTATCGAGATTGTGAATCGCTGTGATTTATAGCATGTATTATAATAGTCGTTAAGTTGAAGTGTGGAGAAACATACTGACTGTGGAATTACTGTGTACTAAAAGTTTGTATCAAGAAAGAATAAAATGGTTTAATCAAGAAAGGACTTGTATCGCTGAAGTTCCTCGGAAAGAATTTCTACTGGAACTTAACAAACAAGCAGATACTTTAACAGTAAATTATATAAAACAAAATAAATATTTGTTTATCAATAAGACCAAATAGAACTAAACTTTTTAGTTTGTTTTTGAAAAATTTAAGACACCATATAAGTCACTGAAATGCTATTAAACAAGAAAAGTCGATAATTTTTCAGCAACATTAATAAAAGAAGTAATGATTATTAGAAAGTAGTAGTTGTAACCAAGACAGGAAAGAAAATATGATATTGTCTGGGATATGATTTAATCATTATAAGAGTGTAACATAAATGATAGTTTACAGCTTAACTGTGTTTGTGATGAAGTTCTAAAAAATAATCTGACCTATTAAATCATATTGGTTAAGAAAGATGAAGATGCTTGTGATGGAAAAGGATAATCTGACCTATTAAATCATGTTGGTTAAGAAAGATAAAGATGCTTGTGATGGAAAAGGATAATCTGACCTATTAAATCATGTTGGTTAAGAAAGATAAAGATGCTTGTGATGGAAAAGGATAATCTGACCTATTAAATCATGTTGGTTAAGAAAGATAAAGATGCTTGTGATGGAAAAGGATAATCCGACCTATTAAATCATGTTGGTTAAGAAAGATAAAGATGCTTGTGATGGAAAAGGATAATCTGACCTATTAAATCATGTTGTTTAAGAAAGATAAAGATGCTTGTGATGGAAAAGGATAAAATTTTCTGGTTAATTTTATTTTATATTTTTCATAAGATGTCATGATTTATTTCCCCTTTTTATTTAATTCATTCAATTTTGCCTTGGAGATCGATACCCATGCCAGATGCCATTGTTTTTGGTTTTGATTACGAGCATTTTTTTCTGACACAAAATAATATCAGGTAGAATATTTATGGGCATATACGCTTATTCAGCTAAGACCTGTACCACGATGCATCTGAGTGTCATTGGCACTGCAGCTCAAATTATTTTATGAGTGCGTCATCTATTTTTTTATATCTTGTCATGGGTTTTGGGTATGTTTTGAATGTACAAGAAGGGTAAACTATAGTTATAAGAATATTACATCTATTTTTTTTATATCTTGTTATGGTTTTTGGGTACGCTTTGAATGTACAAGATGGGTAAATTGTAGTTATGGGAATATCATATCAAAGTGTCTGTGGGTTTTTGAATTTTTCTCTCTTATCATGGACTTTGAAAGAGCACTATTTTTATCAATTTTTTTAAAAGCAAACCAGAAAATATACATAAAATAAAAAAATTTACAACCCAAATTTCTATGAGTGGAGACTCACGTGAGTGCCATCACAGCAGGACCAGAAAATATATATAAAATAAAAAAATTTACAACCAAACTTTCTATGAGAGGAGACTCACGTGAGTGCCATCACAGCAGGACCAGAAAATATATATAAAATAAAAAAATTTACAACCAAACTTTCTATGAGAGGAGACTCACGTGAGTGTCATCACAGCAAAACTAACTTCTGATGCATGCTGACTCCAATAAAATGCATCTGACTCAATGTTATAGTTGACACAGATATGTTTTGGTGGCACTGACTCACATACCTTTGGATGCACATGTGCATTGTGGCTGTGAAGGTGTTAAAAAAGGGTGCCACCTTACATGGTCAGGAAGGTGTTAAAAGAAGGTGTCACTTTACATTGTCTGGAAGGTGTTAAAAGAGGGTGTCACTTTACATGGTTGGGAAGTTGTTAAAAGAAGGTGTCACTTTACATGGACTTGAAGGTGTTAAAAGAGGGTGTCACTTTACATGGTCGGGAAAGTGTTAAAAGAGGGTGTCATTGTACATGTACTTTGACTTTTTAAACTTGATTAACTTTGGGTTATTCTTATAAGTTATCTAAAAGAAAAAAAAATTGTAAGTGAAGGAAAGTATGTTATATCGTGGTGATTACTTCACTGTAGCCCCCTGTGGATCAGTGGTAAGTCTGAGGGCTATAAGGCTCGGCATGGCCAGGCGGCTAGGGTGCTTGACTTGCAATCTGAGGGTCGCTGGTTCGAATCCCCATTTCACCAAACATGCTCACTCTTTCAGCCGCAGGAGCATTATAATGTGATGGTCAATCCTACTATTCGCTGGTAAAAGAGT